CTTGCGACCTACCGGCACCGAAATCGGAACCAAGCTCAGTCACTCGGCCCCCAGGTTCAGTTCCTGCCCGGGTCACTCTAGTTTGCTCCTGACTTTGCAACCTGCCGGCACTAAAATCAGAACCGAGCTCAGTCATTTGGCCCTCAGGTTCAATTCCTGCCCGAGTCGCTTCAATTCGCTCCTGACTTGCAACCTGTCGACACCGAAACTGGAACCGAGCTCAGTCACTCGGCCCTCAGGTTCAATTCCTGCCCGGGTCGCTTCAGTTCACTCCCGACTTGTGACCCGCCGACACCGAAACTGAAATCGAGCTCAGTCACTCGGCTCCCAGGTTCAGTTCCTACCCGGGTTGCTCTATATCACTCTCGACTTGCGACCCGCCAGCCCAATCCAATACCCGAGTCGCATCTCGCTTCGATCCAACGCACGAATCGCATCTCGATCGATCTGACACCTGAATCACCGGCCTAGTCCGTTATCCAAGTCGACCACATCAGTTTCGACACGTCGTTTTCACCTCGTTGGTTTCGCCATGTCAGTTTCGACACCTCAATTTCGCCTTGTCGGATTTGCCACATCGATTTCGACACGTCGGTCTTGCCTCGTCAAGCCCCTACCGCCCAATCAGCATAGTCAATCCTGCCCGAAGCACGGGGTGTCGCCCCTCTAAATCGCCCTTCGACGAGTTAATCCGGCTTCCCCTCATAAACGATCAGCCTCACTCCGACCCAAGTATGCTGCCCAGCCCTTTAAGGACCCCATGACATGCCTAGGGGGGGGAGGGGTGGAGAGAGAAGTAATACGCCCTATTTTGGGCCCAAGACGCATCACACGCTAAGTTAGAACCGTACTAGGAAGCTCTTCCGCCTGTCCTGTCCCGAGAGCTCGGGATGGTGCCATCTGACACTGCTTCGCACGCCCCAAGATGACGATCGGTCAGCGGAAACGACCCTTGGGCAATGGTATAAAGCCCCCGTTCAACCTCCGACCAAGGAAAAAGGAAAATAGTCAATCATATTACTGACTTGCTTGTCGAAGGGTCCACAGCCGAGGATCACCAAGCGAGGGCCGTTTTTGCAGGCGAACGACCACTCGCGAGCGGCGTGTGTCTCAACCCAGGGGACATCATCCACCGTGCAAAGGAGAGCAGTCAATCAACCCGGATCCTGACCAACGCGAACCTACACTCCTTCCTGAGAGTGCGATCACCTCATTATCCAGCTCACTTTGCATGAAGCTTCTGACATCGATCCGCGGCCTTGTCATGCTGTCTCATCAACCATGGTATATTTGTTCACTAACAGTAAATAAGAACTTGAATAGATCAAAATCACAATTCCATGCATCTAATTCCAACCCAACAAAAGCGGAAAAAGCATAGAAACGATTAGCAATCGCAGGTGAATAAACGAATCGAGGAGCTTTTATGTAATTAGAGCATAACAGCAACCGAGAATAACAGCGATAAGATCATATACGCGGATTTAATTGATCCTTACCATAAACGATGGAAGTGGAGAAGTTTCGTCACTATCGCTTCGAGAGACCAAGAGCGAGGAGCGGAGCGTGTCACGGATGCGAACCCCAAATGATTTCGTGGTTGATATAGGCCGCCGTGGGTTGCGTGGAACGATCACCCGTGCTCCAATATTCGTGCCGATTAGCTTTTGACGCTTGAGATGCGTTCCCATGGATGTTTGGTTTTGCACCCTCAGAAGAGATTAGTATTACACATAAGTCCCTAAAAATTACTTGCCCATTTGAAAATTACGTCTAATTAAAGGCTCTAATCGAAAAGCTCACCGGTCGTTGCCAGTTGCCACTGACCAGCACGTGAGGAGTTCGTGCTTTCCCCGTCGTCCGTGCCCTGTGAAAACCTAACCCGGGCCTGCACCAACGCCCTCTCCGCCGCTTTCTGACACGACCCACCTCGGCCGTCGCCATCGTGGCTGCCGTCGAGGCCTCCGCCTTCGCTTCTCAGGTAAGCGTCTCTAGAAATATCTAATCCTTGATAAGATTTATGCTTGTATGTCAGATATGTCATTTTTCGTCTTGAATTCTGGATTGATCCGAGAAACTTGATTCAGATCTTGGAAATTTTTCTTATCAGTTTAGGAGAAGAATTGACATTCTCATAGATAGGGTTACCAATTTGTGCGACAGGAGAGGTTTGTGCTGTTTAGTACTTCTGCTCTTCGCCATCGTGGATTTACTCGCCTTTTGGGACATCCACTTGTTCATTTCCTTCAAATTGCAGATTCTTATTCAGTAATCAAGGATTGAAGAATATGATGGCAATGATGGGAATTTATTTTTCTTTTAATACGTCTATAAGGGTAAACATGAAAACATAATGAAACAAAGGAAAGAACGTAGAGGTGGTCTTAAAGATAATTCTTTGCTGTAAATTTAACCTATTGTTGAATTCTAAAGAATGTAGTTTTCGGCTTAAGGAGACGATGTTGATGTTAGTATCTTTCGCTCGAATCATATAGTCAATGCAAAAATCTCCGGTAACATCACACGGTTTTATCTCTGTTAGGTTGCAATGAACTGATGGTCAAAGACAAACATTTGAAGCTAAAATGTGCTGTGACTATGGCATTTAGAGCACTGTGATTTGTTGATTCTCTTGCCATAATACTTCACTTGATCAAAACTGTAAGTGCCAGCTAGTGTTCTTTTCTTTTCTGAATCTGAAATAGGAGGCATAAAATAATTGTAACAAGTGTGACTGAGAATTTATCCCTTCTTCATGCAGACGACAGTCTGATTACCAATCAAGTAAATCTGATTTAATTTGGAGCATAGCATTTTTATCTGAATCTGCTTGTTCATTTGTTTTTTGATTCGTAAGCAATTCCATTGTCATCAGGGGGTCTTTCACAAACCTGTTGTTAATGGAGGCGAGGTTCTTTCGGTTCCTCAAAATTGTTGGTGTTGGGTTCAAAGCAAGAACCGAGGCAGAAGGTCGTCAGCTGTTTCTGAAGCTGGGTTACAGCCATGAGGTCGAATTCTCCGTACCTCCAGCCGTCCGAGTCTTCTGCTTCAAACCAAACGTAATATGCTGCACTGGCATAGACAAAGAGAGGGTGCATCAGTTTGCAGGTGCTGTTCGTAGTTGCAAGCCTCCTGAAGTTTACAAAGGCAAGGGCATAATGTACATTGATGAAGTGGTGAAGAAGAAGCAAGGGAAGAAGTCAAAGTGAAGCAAAGGACTTTCCATTTCTTCTTTTAGGTTCACTTGCCTTGTGCTAACAATTTCCATGGTAAAAACTTGTATGAGGAAGCTTCACGAGCTATATTTCCAATCAAATTTTCGGACGATGGTCTTCTGGATGTAATTAACATTAATTCCAAATAGTTATATTTTCTTGCTTTCTCTATCTGAATGATCTCTAGTAAACAAAAGCAACCAAGTTCCTGGAATCATCAATTATGTGTTCACGAGCTATATTTCCAATCAAATTTTCGGACGATGGTCTTCTGGATGTAATTAACATTAATTCCAAATAGTTATATTTTCTTGCTTTCTCTATCTGAATGATCTCTAGTAAACAAAAGCAACCAAGTTCCTGGAATCATCAATTATGTGTTCACTCAATAATCAATGAGTGAAATATGATAACAGAGAAGAACAGTGGCAGCTTGTTGGGCACAGTGTCTGCAGTCATCTGTCAAGGAATAGATGATTGTTCAATTTAGCTCTATTTATATATATGATTCTAAGCTTTATGTATGCTTTGGTGCTTTGCAAAATATAAGTTCCATCTATTTGATTACACCCTTCGAGGAGTGATGCTACTATTATCACAATGAACTTGCAGAAACAGTAGTTAGCCTATATGATACATTTTGGTTCCATTTCAACCAATGCGTTGAAAGAAAATAGGTCTTTTCAGAAACCAGAATCTTGAGATGCCAACAGCAATGCACTAAAGAATCTATCTTTACTGCATTGTTATAAAAAGTAATAGGTCATAGGTTTTATATTTGAGTCCATGTAGGAGCATTGTGTATATAATTCATTGTAATAAATTTTTTTTATTTTAAAAATAAAAAATATTTTGACTCTTTTTTAAAATTTAAATAATAATATATATGAAGTGTCCTAAGCTTAAAAATTTTTAAAATGATACTCTTTTTTAAAAATAATTATTTTAAAAATTTTTGCTCTTGAAAAAATCTTTAACTACTTGATCGTGTCTTTGCCCTATCATTGTCTCCCTTTCGCTTATTGGTGAGGAAGGAAGGAGAAGAGTCCGAAAAGGAAGAAGGTGACGATAGGTTTAATAGGGACCAATAGGATATATGGAGATTATCACAATCTCCTCTTGTCTTGTGTGAGGGTTAACGGGTTGGATAGTCTAACGACATATAGAGATTGTCATAACCCTTGTATCTCCTCTTGTATTGTGTGAGGGCTAACAGGTTGGGCAGTCTAACGACATGCAGAGAGGTAGGCTACGAAGAAGATAATTTTTTTTAAGTTATAAGGGTAAAATTCTCACAATTAAAGACTTATACTGGGAATTCGTCCAATTATATATATACACTTTATTTTCTATTTTAGGGACCGGCGCTTCATCTATTTGACTATCGATTGAAACACCCCTCTACGTTGTCTCTTTCCCTATTCCCAAACTCCGACCTTTCTTCAACCCCCAAACTAAAACCCTGCCCACCATGCCGGAGATGGCCTCCGCCGAACCTCCGTCCACCGCCGCGGCCCTTTCCCAGCCATACGTCCTCCAACAGACCCTGACGGGTCACGAGCGCGCCGTCTCCGCCGTCAAGTTCTCCCCGGACGGCTCCCTCCTCGCGTCCGCCTCCGCTGACAAGATCCTCCGCGTCTGGTCCACCGCAGATTTCTCCCTCCGCGCCGAGCTCTCTGGCCACGACGAGGGCATCTCCGACCTGTGCTTCTCCTCCGACGGCCGCTACCTCTGCTCCGCCTCCGACGACCGCACCGTCCGGATCTGGGACCTGGCCGCCTCCGTCGCCGTCAAGACCCTCACCGGCCACACCAACTACGTCTTCTGCTGCTCCTTCAACCCCCAGTCCAATATGATCGCCTCCGGCTCCTTCGACGAGACGGTCCGCGTGTGGGAAGTCAAGTCCGGCAAGTGCCTTCGCGTCCTCCCCGCCCACTCCGAGCCCGTAACCGCCGTCGACTTCAACCGCGACGGGACCCTTATCGTCTCGAGTAGCTACGACGGGCTGTGCCGGATTTGGGACGCCGCGACCGGGCATTGCGTGAAGACCCTTATCGATGACGAGAGCCCGCCGGTTTCGTTCGTCAGGTTCTCACCAAATGGGAAGTTTGTCCTCACCGCGACCCTCGATAGCACATTGGTATGTACACGCAACCTGTTCCACTGGTTAATGTTTCTTGTTGTGAATTATTATATGGAGATTGAAAAGCAGCTCCTTTCTTTTCATTAGTTAATATATCTTCATTGTTTGTGTGTTCTTTTGGTGCTGTTTAGAGATTTAGCTGTTGGAATTACACCATTTGAAGATGAACAGAGCTCAATGAATTCTTAAAAATTTTATTTGTATTTCTGATCATCTATTTTTCTTGGATGTAAATATCACTTTAAAGACTTGTCTGGCTTGGATCTGAAATGCAATTGCCTTGTCAATTGCACTTTTCGGTTTACTTGTTTGATTTTAGTCAGTATATTTCTGTATTCACATATACAAATATATGTGATTTTATAGATGATACATATGGTCCAGGGGAGCATATACAGCCTACACAGCCTTAAGTTTGTTTACTACTCAGGCATTAGCTCAGGTGCCCAGGCAATCACCAGTGACATCACTGTAGGATTTAAGTTTTTTGACTCTGACTATTCTGTTCCTGAAAATTGGACTTTGTTGAACTCGAGTTATCACTAATGGGCCTGTTGATTGTATCATCTATCTTTTAGTCTCCCAAAAAAAATCTGAAAAGTTATGATGCTCAAGAGATTGTCTTGCTTCTGGACTTGTTACATAAGATTGGGAGAAGTTGTGCATCACTCGATTTGTGTTATAGATGCCTATGAGACTGTTTTGCTTTTGGACTTAGAGAAAATGTATATCAAAGATGTTATTGACTTTCGTATAGGTTGGTTGTATAATGATGCAAAATATTAGGATAAATGGCACTAGGTAAAACCTGCCTACACCATCCATCTGTTTTGTGTTGGGTGGGTGTTGACACCGAGCGTGGTTGCTTATTGCTAGTGCGACCATATAAAATTCTGGGGGCATTCATGGCGACACAGCTTGCATATTACAACACAGAGTGCTTGGCACAAGAGTCATTTCATGGTAACCTAGTACTCTGACGGGCATGATTTTACCCGGTATGACAGGACATAACATAAACACGTGTGAGTTGGAGATGATTCTGATAAGTTAATAGCCAAAAAAGTACCCTTATGAAAGGTTTAATCCACTTTTTTTGGGTGGTTAAAATAACTTCTCTAATGGTCACCTATGTTACTTTGCTTGGTTGGCAGCCTTACAGATAAGGAGGCTAAATTTTTAGTTACTTAGAGTATGATGAGTCCCAATTATTTTTACACTATATCAAAGGTAGCTAAGAGTGAACTTCTCGGAATATGAAGTGATGCGACAATTACCGAGAAGCCATATACTTGGCTTTCTCATGAGAAATTTCTGGTTGGAAATAAATTAATTAGAGAAATGGTGGGATGATTTGTAGAACTTGTAGTCAGATGCTTTGACATATATGCAACAACACTTTCAGGCTAAGTTATTCCTTGCTTGTGGATATCAAATCATATCCATTCAAACCCGGTGTTTGATAAAAGATGGGCAATGCTGTCTTTGCTTTGCTTTACCACAACTTTTTTTTTTTTTCTGTCATACTACTGAGAATCCAGTAGGTATAATGAAGTCTAATATATCTATTCATCAGTGTAGAGAGGTGAATAGGTAAGTAGGCATATAAATTCTAAAAAAAAGCTTCTTAGAATTCTTTTTAGGTATTTATTGGGTCCCTCCCTTTATGCTTGTATGTGTCTTTCTGTCCATTTATATATATTTCTTGTCAGGTTGAATAGATTCATCCAGATATTTTTCAAACCCATTGTTTAAAACCTTCTAAAGAATTTATTGCTGTTCTGTACTTATGTTTTAACTAGATGCATGTGTTATGTTACATCGCGGGACTAAACTCATACCCAACCATGTAAATTGATGTTACATTCTATTCTTATGTTTTGACTAGATGCATGTGCCACATTACATATTGGGACAAAACTCATACCCAGCAATGTAAATTGATGTTGCATGCAGAGGCTATGGAACTTTTCGGCAGGTAAATTTCTCAAGACATATACCGGACACGTTAACTCAAAGTTCTGCATTCCAGCTACCTTCTCGGTCACAAACGGGAAGTACATTGTCAGTGGATCGGAAGACAACTGCGTGTACCTGTGGGATCTCCAAACAAGAAAAATTGTGCAGAAACTGGAAGGTCATACCGATACTGTTATTGCAGTGTCGTGCCACCCATCTGAAAACATGATTGCTTCTGGCGCACTCAGTAATGATAAGACAGTCAAGATCTGGGCTCAGCGGAGCGAGGGTCAACTCAAAGACTGAGTTTTCCTCTAACAACCTATTAACAGTTGGATGAATCCAACCCACTCATCTTTGTTATCAATCAGTTGTAGGGCTGGGGTCTGCGCCCCGATTTGTTGTATTAACTTTCTTTTACATGTGATGCAACAATCGTTATCTGGCAGACCGTATGGTCTTTCTAGTCTCCGACATGGGTTATCGTCTAATGGTAGTACAACAGAGCATATCTTGCAGGTTTGAGCTTTGAGCCTATTTCTGTTCAACTTCTTTGCATCATTTCGAAGTTGTGGGATAAGTTGTTTAGCTGCTAAAACATCCGAGTAATCACCATGTCAATCTGATATCAAGCTGCCAGAGTGTAGCCTTCTTTGTTGAGTGGCATTTACTTACAGCTGATGCAGATCAATTCAGTCTATTACTTGCTGGTCTTGGTTGTCCACTGTCATCCTCACCCTATCTATCAACATGATGTTTTCTCAATTTTCGGGCTGCTACTGTATTTAAATGAGTTGATATTGAAGTAGAACACCATTAAGATGATACTGGAAGAGAATCATCTCTATCAGTGGTGCAATTTATTGTTTTGCAATGAAAATATTGGAAGAAATTATGTACTTGTGTGTACTGAATATTTTGGCTAACCTTTTAATTCTTAATGACTTATGCTTCACTAAACATTACAAGTCAGATAGATTATTCTATCATACACAAGTCCGATAGATTAGACTATCATACCCAAAAATCATCATATAAGCCTTACTACAAAAAAAATTATTTGAATCCTATCGATCAACAAGCGGTGGAAGAAAAAAAAAAGGGGCATCAAAGCAGTCGACTTGCAAGCAGAATGTGACAAATGATCAGCTACAAATTGAAAGTTACGTATTTTCTTAACGTTGACTAAGTTGGCCAATCATTAAGAGGAATGTTAGCGTCAATCCAAATGATTGTGCCGTCACCAGTGATCGGCGATAAGTTGCAAGTTGTGACGAAAGGACGGAGGAGTGAGTATGGACGGAGAACACGACGTTGTGGAGTTGAATTCGTGTGGTGGCCGAAACTATCACGAAAGGGAGCGGTAATGAGTCAGTCAATCGGCCTCGTGGCCTAATGCGTTGCAATCACAAAAAGGAGACGAAGACGTCTCCCCAATGCTCCATTTTAACCCATTCTTCCATTCGCGACGAATGGGTTACCAACCAATCGTCGATTGCCGTTAATTCAGCCATAGTGATAGAGGAAGCGAGGAAGGAGACGACCGCTCTTTTCTGCTTCCTGCAGGTTATATATTTCCATCTTCTCCTCCTCGAAGACTCTCTGAGCGTTCTTTGGGTTCCTCCTCTTTGCCCCTTCCTGTGTTCCTGTTAGCTCGCTTCTCTAAGTTGGTGCTCCGTAAAGTATTAGAAGCATTCAGATAACCCGTCGGCATTTGCTTTCGAGATTTGATCATATACAACCAGAAGCTTGAACTTTTGTACTTGATTCAGGTTGTCTATTTCTCTTGCAAAGCAAGAATCTGTCATCACCATGGAAGCATTAGCATCCCCGTGCTACTCTGACATGGTAAGGAGCTCGAGATCGAGTCCTTCTGTTTTCTGAAAGATAATTTATGGTTCCTTCGTTTGTGCAAATGGGCAGGGAATGGATCAGAGCTCCTTCAAGCGGTGGGAGCTGTCTGCTTTAGATCAGTTCAGCGCACAACAACTAGAAGTGGCACTCGGATCTCCCTCCTCTGAGAGCTATACTTCACTCCCTTCATGCCATCCACCCAACGAAATAGTCACTGCGGCATGGCATTCGGACTTACATGACGGTGCTGCAGCGACGGCGAAAATGAAAGCAGAGATGAAGGATGTCCTGGTTCTTGATGGCTCAAAACGGAAGTGGGACATCATGATTCGCCATGGAACCAAGAGGCCGAGCATGGGGAACAGCTCGGCCTCCCACAACCAGGAACACGTCATGGCCGAGAGGAAGCGAAGGGAGAAGCTCACGCAGAGATTTATAGCGCTGTCGGCAGTGGTTCCCGGCCTCAAGAAGGTACATATGCTCCGTGTCGATTCATCTTTTCCTTCCGATGTTCTTGATTCTGTAGCTTTTGTGGAAGATGGACAAGGCCTCTGTTCTTGGCGATGCCATCAAGTACCTGAAGCAACTACAAGAGAAGGTCAAGAGCCTGGAGGATCAAGTTGCCAAGAGGAATACCGAGTCAACGGTGCTTGCGAAGAGATCATACGACGAACGCCAACGTTGTGGGTCGCTCCTGGTGGAGATCGAAGCGAGAGTGTTCCAAAAGAGCATCCTAATTAAGATCCACTGCGAGAACCAGAAAGGAGTGTTGGTGAAAGCACTCTCCGAGATCGAGAAGCTCCACCTTTCTGTAATATGCACGAGTGCCATGTCCTTCGCTATTTCTTCTCTCGACATCACTGTGATGACTCAGGCAAGTCTGGTTGGTCTGTTCACAGGCCACTGCTTTCTACACCTCTACACAGATGAGCCGATGGTGGCTGAATTGCTTTCGGGATTAGAATTGTTAGCGCTTGACGAGCTTTACTCTTGTTATCTTCTTGTTCTGCAGATCGAAGAGGAATTCTGCATGACAGCGAAGGACCTGGTGAAGAAGCTGAACTCAGCTCTCATGTGATAGAAAAGAAAGGAAAGGAGCTTTTTTCTTTTTGCTTAAGACTAGGCTGATCGGAGCTTATTCTCCTTCCAAAGACATCATTATGGACTTGTACTTTCGGGTTCTTCTCTTCCCCTGAGCTACTTGATGCTGCTTTTGGGAAGAGAGCAGTGAGAAAATTAGTCCTGTTTTCTTCCTCCTCTTTTTCTGAATGCTATTATGGGGAAAGTTGTTCTGCCTTTCTCTTCATGTGACGCTTTTTCCTCCGAGGAGTTTGACAATTTAGATCTGCATCTCACTTCCCAATCAATCTCCAATCATGAAAGGTTGACTGTGATAGGAATATGGTGACTACAAGTTTGTGTGTCCTTTTTGCTTTTGTCATCATCTGGAAATCATGCAAGGCAAACAAACATGATGTACTACTGCAGCAAAGAATTTAGATACAGAATAGTTATCGGTCACCTCTTTGTGTGCTGTATCTATTTCTGCTTGGTTTTCTTGAGTATTAGAGATCTAATTCCAGGCAGGATAGGATACTGTTGTTGACTTTATCTTGATGGTGATAATTTCCTTGGTAGAAGAATAGGATGCCAATCCCTTTCCATCAGTACAACCTAATGTGACTTTAACTTGAAAGTCTTTGATCTTTACAGCAATAGTGACTTCATGATCAGTAACTAATGTGATTATAAATGATTGGCGAAAAAGAAATCGAAGTTAGTATTATATTTGGACAAGAATGTTACTCATGAAACTTAATGATATTTCAATCAAAAGTATTTTTCGGATAAAATTTATTTTGCAGAACAAGCATATGAAAAGATCAGATATCTCAAGACATTAATTATTATGGAGTGGGTTAGGTGGTAGAAAATCTCCAATATATTATTATCCACATCCCTTTGTTGGTGAAAGCTACTCTTTCCAAGATGGTGACAAATAACTAACTATAATATGGGAAACCTGCCTCACAATCCCCAGAACAATTATCTCCATATGAAGGTGACAACAATGGTGACAACTTGAAGGTGCATTCTCCTCAAGGGGCCCAATATCATGATCATTGAATAGAAATAGGAAAATTGAGAAGATTGACCTCAGGATCAAGTTGAAATAGGAAGAACAAGAACTAGTATTCCATAACTCTTTGATGGATCAATTTGAGGCTGTGCACTGGCCTAAGCAACTTTTGCAAACCACATTTATATATATATATATATATATATATATATATATATATA